TCAAAGAATTACAAGTGTCTCAAGAAACTACAGGTGGGCTGGAGGCCACTGAGTCCCTGGAAGGGCTACATATGCTTGCTCTGGTTATATGACCTGAAGACATAATACTTCCATGGCATGTTCCAGAGGCAGGGTGCTGGGAAAGAAGACTTTGAGGCTGACTCTGTCCACTCTTGTTGTCCTTGTGTTAAGCTCCTGCCCAGCCATCCAACCACAGCAAAGGGCAGCAGATGGCATTTTACCCTCTAAATATCACTTTGTGACACACCAGAAAGATCAAAAATAAAGTTGCTTACATGTGCCAGAGGTTGTTTCAGTAGGAGTTTGTCATGGGAGAGCACTGGAGTTACAACAGGAGTCATGTGCAGGATGGGGATTTGGGGAGGGACCTGTTGGTGAGGGAGAACCTACAGCTGCTAGCAAAAGGTAACTGATGTCTGACTAGAGCAAGGTTGGATTTAATCACAATAAATTTATATTTCAGGTACTTTAGATGGAAATAAGTAAGAACTGAATCTGTGAATTAAATCTGTGGGTGAGGTAGTTCTGAACAGACCTCGGCTTGCTCCATTTTAGATCAGGAAGGACACAAGGTGAGCATGCTCTGACTGCATGAAGGGCTGCCCAGAGCTGATGGTCAAAGCCTGAATCACCTCCAGGTAGGCCACCAGAAGAGCTCGTAGTGCCCCTCCAACCCACATGAAAGATCAATGAAGGGTTTCATCAAAGAACAGAATGAAGATACCATTGAAAGAGCAGAAAGATAGTTCCAAAATCTGTTGGCTGGAAAGGTTTCAACTCAGAAAGGTTCTCAGGAAGGTAGAGGATCTCCTCCTGGGGGTTTCAGGAGTTGGCTGGATAAAGCCATGACCACCTTGACCCAGTGCTGTTGGCAGGTCTCTCCTGAGGTACCTCCCACCAGCACTGTCATGGGGTGCCACAAGCAGGGATGGCTCTGCAGTCCCTAAGTCTCTCCCAGCCTCTGTAGGTGGTAGATCCAGGGGCCACGGGGAGAAGGAAATATGCTTTTCAGATCTGGATTTAGAATTCTTGTAGTGTGTTTTACAGCTAAACAATTGTAAATGTTTAATAAGTTCCAACAATGTGTACCAATTTTGTATGCAATCTCTTTAATTCTTCAGAGAATCATCAGTCAGCTAATTTTGCCTCTCTTTAAAATCAGTAGGAGAGAATGAATTATTCATTTTAAACCAGCTGCAGTCAGTCTCAGAGATCCCCATCCGGAGGAGCTCAAAGCAACCACAGAAAGGAAGCTCTCAGGAAAGAGAGCGCTTTGGAAAAAGCCACTGGGAATCAAATCCCTGAAGATACTTTTAATGTCCTTTCTTAATAACTCATCCAGCCGGCCCATCCACCCTGCTCTCATCAGCAAAATTACTCTGATGGCCGTGGTGGCATGTGCAGAACAGAGGCAGCAGCAGAGGGTGCTGCTCCAGCATCCCACTGTGCCACGGGACAGGCTTGGTCAGGGCATCAACGCTCAAGTTGAAAAATGATCCAGAAAGTTTCTTGCCAAGTTTTTCTCTCTTTGCTCCTGTTTTTAGGTGGGACTGTGCATGGTGAGACACATCGCAGAACCTTAAAACAGGGTCAGATCTTCTTTATGAAACACAGGAACGGCTTTCTGGTCTGAAAATGATGTTGCCTAATGAATCCCAGCATAACAATCACTTTCTAATTGCTGTTTTTCTTACACTTTGTCAACTAGAATAAATAGCACAGAAAGTGCTCCTATTTCCCTAAAAGAGATGAACTGGGAAAAAGGAAATAGTGGTTAATTTTTTCTCAGGCAACACAGATGTTTTATTTGATTGTTTCAAATAATTTTGTTTGTATTATTTCCTTACCCTAACGATAGACTTATTTTAGTAGTGCTCACACTGACCATGTTTATGCAAGCAAAATTGAATTGCACACGTAAAATGCTCAGGGGTAAGATTTACCCTCTAAAACATGAGCATCTGATCCCAAAAGAGAATTTTTAGGAAGCTGTTATTTCTCATGGGAGAGATGTTGAAAGACAGAATTAAGGTATCTGGAGGGTCCCAGCGGTGCCCCAGAGCAGGTCCCTTTGTGAAACACCTTGTAGCAGGTTTATTTATTTATTTGTCACCAGTGGGCACAAGCTTTTTGGTTTGGGGGGACTTTTTATGGAACTTTTTGTAATGTTTTATGTGCAGAAAATTCAGCAGCTCCGAGCGCTGCCGTGTGAGAAAGACTGCTGAGAGAAAAGTCCTTTGTTTTGTTTGCCCTTCAGTAGGACTGTGGCTGTCATTTACTGTCGGCACTCGGTGACAACCAGCCCTCCGCTCCTACCTGCCGAGTTTGGCGGTGCTGTGCTTGAACCCAGCAGCCACTAGGTGCCAGTACCGTTTTACAGGAGAACAAGTTCGTCGCTGAACAGAGCCAAACCTAGAAAAAAATTTTCAGGAATTTGGGCAACTTGCCAGTTGTTAAATATAGCATTACTCATCCCAGTTGCTCTTCCCTCTCGGGCTGCTCTCCTTCAGCGTATAGCCATTTGTGCCTTGCGTACGTGCTTGGGAGGCGAGCAAAGCTCTGCTGCTTTTCTATTTTATGTTATTTCATGTTTATCGTAGGACATAAAGTAGTATAAATTTGAGAAATCTGTTTGTGTCAGCAGGATGAGCCACTTCACAGAGCTCCTTTGCAAAATCTGACCATACCACATCTTTCCTCCTGCATAACGTCTTATCCCTCCCAAATTTACTGACAGTATTTGGAGCTACAGAAATGATGCTAAACCCGATGCACTGGGAGAATCCCTCTGCTCTCTCTGGGATTTGATGACCCTGATATCTGTGTGCACCCTACAGGTCAGCCAGCAGCTATCTGCTTTTCAACATCTTCACAACTGGAACTGCATAAGCACAAGGCGGGTCTGGGGACCAAAGAACATCACTCTTTCAGTGTTTCTCTTAACCAGCCCAAAATCTGGATGTGCACAGTCCCCATCTCCTGCAGGTAGCTGGAGCCAGGACAGGAAAAGTCTCTGGGCCTGGAGAGGAGTTCAAGGTGGCAGAGCATCTCCAGGCACAGAGCAGTCCACCTCAAGCAGCCCTCAAAGGACAGGGGATGCCTAAGTCTTTAAAAAAGCAGCTGAGAATTGTAATTTTAGCAGAGACTTTTGGGTGTACACAATCATTTCTAGCCCTTGAAAGCCAGGTATATCCCTTGAGAATACCATGAGCAGCACCACGGCCAGGCTGACCCCTGAGCAGCAAGTGAAGAGCGGTGATTTGTGGTCCCTGACCAGAATTTCACCCTTCAAAGTTGTTTTGTTGTTTTGGTTTGTTTGTTTGTTTGTTTTTTTTCCTTGAAAAAAGGAAATCCAGGTAGATATGTAATGGGGAGATGAGATGGTCTATGGGACATTTATCTGGGCTAGTAGGAAAAGGGAGCCATGCAAGCTCAAAGATAAAGCAACTCCCTTTGAAGAAGTCACTGGAGACCTTGTCCTGTGAACTTCTAGAGAGGGTCACAGTGGGACATGGGAGATAGCTTCTGGGTGGGTTGTTTCAGGGTCTATCCAGCTCCTGAGGTGGATTTGTTGTGTAATCCTCAGACATGCTTTATTCTCGCTTTGCACCTCAGATGTGAGGCCCTGTGCTGTAGAGACCTTCAGGAAAGGACTAGCTGGAAGAAAGGAAAAGGGAAATGCAGCTTTTGTACCTCCTACCCTGTAAGCAGCCAAATGTGTGGCCATCTGCTGAATTTTCTGGGCCATTGATCTACTCATCTCTTATGGCTCAAACATGTTTTAGACTTGTTTGTGGAGGATGGATATTGGTTTTGGCTTTTGCCTTGTAATCCCCTGGGAACCCACATCTTTACAAATGGGAAATAACATCTTTTAAGTTGAGTTCTGGGTTTGAGATTTCTTGAAAAATCATTCTTGCTCTCCAAAATTGATCAGCGAGTTGCTGCTAAGTGAGAATCTCAGTTCTCTGAGAATTTCTCTGCTAAAGCACAAAAGAGAATTCTGCCATTGCCCTGATTTCAAAGAAAATGGAAGGAGGACATCAGAAAAAGCCAATGAGGTAAAATAGTAGAGCTGGCAGAGCTGCTGTTCTTGCTCAAGCCCAGAATACAGCTGACCTTTTTGTAAGTCTGTAAGAACAACGTCAAGATATTTTGGTGAAATCTCTTTTGGCTTGGTAGGGAGGCCTTTGGTTGAGTGCTGTGTGCTATCAGTAGCAAGGTACCATATCTTCTCCCCCATCATTTCTTGGGCTCAGGATCTCTCTGGGAGGGTGCAAAACCAGAACCCCTTGTACTGGGTGTGGAAGCAGGAGTTGTTATTGTTGAGTCATTTAACTATGGTGGTCTTCCAGGTAGCAGGTCCTCATCTTCTTAAAATGAGCAGGGGTCTAGCTGATTCACCTACCAGTGACCCAGCAACAGGCACTTTCCAAGGTGGGACCAATCCCTCACAGCCCTAAATCATGCATTGTCCCATTTATCTCCTTATTTTTGCATGTTGCTGTCTCGCTATCAATATTGCCCCTGAGACATCTCCATTGGGATCAGGTAAGGAACAAAGGTATCACCACTGTAATAAATTTATAGCAAAAGTGATTCCTTCAGCATTGACAGAAGAATAAATATTGGCTAAGGAGGTGGTGGAAGAAAAACCCTAACCCCTTGATTTTTTACTTAAAAGTGCAGAAGTATAACACTGCTGATTTTCTGCTGTGTGTGCATGGTGAGTGTCACCAAAGTGCATGTTAAAACCACTGTCAGCTTGGCTGAGCAGCTTGTGACCTTGTCTGTCTCACCTCAGATCAATCCCTACAGAGCAAAGTGTGCTCTTATTTACCATGCATGGGATGACCCTTTCAGATGAAACTTGGGGTATAAAAGGACTGAGGCATGTATGTTGTTTTAAAAAGTTTTAATGATACTTCAAAGTCCAGTTAATGTGCTTGGATTACTCTAAAATTACAGTCGTGCTTCACAGAATTTAATCCCAGTTATAATTTCCTTGTAATGAATGATTAAGATGCCATTTTCACTTCATTCTGTTTAAACATACATGATTATCCTCCAATAAATGGATAGTGTGATTTTTTGCTACACTTCATAGTGTTAAAACTCTATACAATATTGTACTATGCGTACAAAAATAAGTGCTTCATGCACACACTTTTTAATACTGCTTCTTGCCCTTTTCTTTGACATCTTTCTGAATTTATATAAATAGCTGAAAAAGCTGACTAAAGTTACTGAACATGGAAAGAGAGAAACACTTTCTGCCAACGGCAGTCTTCTAGAGAGAGACACACACATGGATATGTTACTTGTTGGCAGTCAAACATGACTTAAAAGACATAGACAGAAGAGAAAATAGAGCCACGATACCCATAACACTTCGTTATTTTGCCCTCTGTGAACAAGTTTGTCATTTTCTGTGAAGTCTAGAGTGCCAAACAGCAACCACAGAGGGCTTGTAATACCTTGAAGATCACCCTAATGAGCTACTTTATAAATAGAAAGGGTCTAATAGTATCACAGACTATACAGCTTATGTGTTTTGTTCCATTCCTAGTGAAATCCCGTCAGCGGAAGCATGAGAATAGAAAACACTTAGCTCCTGGTAGTCAACACCTTGTCACAGACCGTTGTGCTTTGTACAGCTTTGGGGATGCACAGGAAAAACTCTGCTTGAAAGGCCTTGTATGGTACCACCTACATCATCTAGACTGGATGAAAACTTTGGGGCAAGTGCTGTTGGAATCAATGGACATCGTCAACACGGTTGTAAATTCTCCTGCCAAAAGGGTTTTTTCTGGCCCTGGATTGAACAAATTCATTTTTCTTAGTGTGTATTACTGTATAGGATATACTATATAGGATTAGTGTGTCTGCTGTTGTTACCTAACACTGGGCTTCTCCTATATCCCTAGAGCATCATTACTCCTGCCTCAATCTGATGGCAAAAACAAATGGATAATGCCCTCCTCCTGTAAACCAAAGGATGCTCTGAGAATTCCCAAAGCATTCAAACAATGCCAACACCAGTGCTCTCCAAAACAAGAGACACCTTTACTATTGCCATGAACATTCTTCCATTAAATTAATTTTTGCAAGAATCGCAGCAGCCAGGAGCCTTGCTTTAACGTGTAAAGCAGTATTGGTAGCCAGGCAGGGCTCTTTCCATCCTGTTGAAAATATTTCTTGTATATAATTTTATTCCTGTAGAGGCACCTATTTTTACTGGGCCATGTCTGTGAGCTCTTGTGCTCTAATGAAGTAGACAATTGGCCCTAATGAATAGCACTTTTCTGGTCCTCAACAGTAATAGTCATAGAAGTCTTCCTATCTTTCACTGAATTTGCCATTTGATGGGAGGTGAATTATTTGTTGGTTTGTGACATGTAGGTATGGCTGGGACATAGCCAAGTACGAGGGAAAACTGTTGAATGCTTGTCTCCTGCTTTGAAAATCAAATTTCAAGAACAGGGAAACTAGCCTGTTAGGCTGGGCAGACACATTTATGATAAATGTCTTCTTTGCTTGGCTGTGCCAGAAGGAATGTAAAAGCCTCTTGAGATGCCTGAACACATCCCCCCAGCACTGGTGACACGGGATGCTCGGAGGCAGTAAGAGGCAAACTGGAGATCTCCACGTGCCCAAAGGGCAGCCTTCCATTTTACCTGCTGCTCTGCCTGACTTGAGAAATTTTGTGGTGTATGGAGGAGAACTCCTGATGCACAGAGGGGCTTGCTGGACATACAACATCTTTCCCTGGTCCCACCTCACCATATCCATGGGACCAACTGTTTTCAGCGCAGGTTATTGCTTGTAAACACACACACAATGGTGTGTATGTATATATACATATATATATGTATGTATATACACACACCTGAGAACTACTAATTTTCTGGGCTGAGATTTTGCTTTCTAGTGTGAAAATCTGATTTTGAGTGATCTTTTTAAAATTTCTCCTTTTCTCTCCAGTATCCTGTTATGAAATTAAAGAACTACAATAATGAAACTCTGACTAAAATCTAACTTTAGGTGACAGATTAGTTTAAAATCATGAGGGTGTAAGAATTACCAGACTGAGAATTTTTTTGGTTTTTTTTTGTCTGTGCTCAATTTAAGGGAACACTATTAAAGACAGGATTAATATGCTCCATAACCATCACTGCGTGCAGCAACTGCGAAGGCGGGGTAGGCTTCATAGGCTCCGTACGTCGCTAAATCTTGTCCCATAGTCACCGCCTGTTTAAGCTGAGTGGCTGTGACAGTTGCAGCTGCATTAGCAATGGTGTATCCTGCAGGGGAAAGAAGGGGGAAAAAAATGCAGATTAATGAAAATATCCTCAAAACTCACCATAACCTGATAGTTTTTGATGGGAAGACTTTGCTGTCAATGGGAATGACATAAGGAGAAATGAGTTTGATAATAGGAATAATCAAATTAAATAGGTAATTTCTGTCATGCTTTTCTTTATGTTAAAGGTAATAAAAAAAAGGTGGAAAATCAGTGCATTTTCTCACCTGATATTTGTTAAACACACTGCTTGGAAAATGCTCCTCACTGTTGAATATTTTTTCCTTAGGCTTTGATTATTTCTGATCTAAGAGGGTATTAAGGGTTCTCTTTACACATCCACACACAACATGATGAGGGCAAGAAAATGGGGTAAAACAGGGGAAATCTGGGCAGGTTTCGTAGTGAAAATATGGCTCTGATACACTTCATGGTCAAAATACATGCAAGTCAGGACAGCCATGTTAGAGAAGGGAAACCCCCTTTATGCAACATTGGGGAGAAAATATTTAGTAAACTGGATTTTTTTCCCCATCAGTTCCTAGTGGAAACCGTGGTTTCAACACTTCAGAATTTTCCATGGGAGAATGTTAGCATTGCCGATTTAAAATGAATCACTGGGAAAACAAAAGCTTTTGGTACTGGTTTGTCTGAAAGCAGGGTATAGCAGCTTGTCAACCAGACCACAAGATGCTGTTGTGAAGGAAGCAAGCAGGAAACAAAGCCCAAGTTTGGGAAGAGCAGCTGGGGTACCCACTGGCCCTGCTGGGCCAGGCTCTGCTGCCAGACTACATCTCCCATGGTCCCAAATCTCCCACCAACCAGCTGGGCAATGGGTTTAACTCAAGGTCAGTCAAAGACAAGGTTCTCTCAGCACAAGGAATGGAGATACTGGTCAACACCAAGAGCACATTGCCTCATTGAAGGTGTTACCTTGGGGGAAAACACAAGAAATTCTCTATAATTTGGGTATTTTGGCCACACAGAGTATCTTCTTTGCATCAGCAAAGCGAGGTGCAATATTTCAACTGTGAATTGAGAAATCTGTCATTTAAAGCATTTCTGCCACCATCATAGGGGAAACGAGCTGCTACCTGTGCATGGCTTGAGCTGAGCTGGGCTTCAGCAAGCCCTGATCAAGGACCAGTGTGTGTTGCAGGCAGAACCTTTAATGTATGTCAATTTGTTGAGTTTCCAAGACAAATAAATAAGGGTGGATGAAAGAAAAAGGAGAGATTATAATTAAGCAGTAAGTGGAGACTGGATTCAATAAAGAGCCCATTTGGTTTCCACGCTGCGGAAGCCTGCACAAACCCAGACAAATTGATTTTTCTGTGGCTTTTGCGGACTCCTGTGGCAGGAAGCCGGATAGATATATTTTTTTTTTTAAATCCATCCTTGAGACACTCCAAACAACTCAGTAGTACTGACTAATGCATTCCTCATGTGCAGTTTGGCATGTGTTTCGCCCACTACATCAGAATAACCGTCATGCTGGAGAGCACAGTAAATGTAATTCCTGTGAGCTGGATTCCTGCTCCCAGTCTGTGTTTTCCATGATTTCTCAAGCTGTTTTGCACAGTTGCAAGACCTGTGGAGTATGAATTCCCAAACTGGAAAAAAAGCCTTCCAGTGGGGGTGTGAGAACTGGGATCAGATCCTAACTTTCACAGTTGTGTCATTTCTTTGGCAGATGAAATCAAAAGCGTTGGTTCAAAAGGAGCTGGGGTGCTGGGGGGACACATGGATGGACCATGAATCAATCAACCACACATCTTTGCAGTGAGGAAGATCTACTCCATCCTGGGTGGCATTGGCAGATTGCAACCAGCAGGTTCAGGTTGGGAACTCATTCCAGATGGGGCACTGGGGACACCAGTGATGGATCTTGCATCCTATCTGGGGCTCCCAGTTGAAGGGAGGCATCCACAAGCTGGCAGGAGTGGAGGGGAGGCACATACCTGGGATGGGACCCCGAGCAGTGGGGGATGCCCATCCTTGGACGCTGCCCCAACTCGCCTGGCCACAGCCCCAAGCATCTTGCTGTATATGCGGCACTGACCTTGCTGGGAGCAGGTTTGGAACAAATAACCCCCACCCTGGTACCTCCAGCCTGAGTTGCTCTATGGTATGTACACCGTAGTTCTGACATAGAAATAGATTACTATGTGGGCAATAAAGATATCATACACATAAGTAACATGAGTCAAGGTAGAGTCATGTGGGGGAGTACAGCCAGGTCTGTCCTCAGTGGCCAAAACCACGTTGACATTCTCAAGGAAGCAGCAGGAAAAACAATATCCCAGGAGATCTTTGCTGTACAGACCTTCCCATACCTGGAAAAGCTGGTGCTGCAGGAGGCACCTCTGCTCCCTCCATGGGAATCCCCAGCGTCTGAAGGGTGTATTCTGCTGCGTAGGTTTTGGCTTCATCAATATAGGCACTGAGCTTGGGTGGTGTGAAGGGATGTCTGTGAGCACAACAAAATGTTACCTTGTTTGGTTTTTTTTCTAGGACTTTCCTGAAAGATGTTTTGATGCACTCACAGATGGCATCATCCCACATATCAAACAGAAACATTATTTTACTGTGCTGATGCATTAACAAAAATACTCTCCTTGTTGTAGTCTGGTTTCTTTGCTGACTTTATTGGCCCTAAGTCTTATTTTGGACACAACATCATTTCAGAGCATGTGGTGCAAAAGAAAGCCTGCTGCAGTCTGGGTTTTTCTTTAAAATACACAGCAAACAATGTTTTAGGTCAGAAATGTTTTGAATCACATTTGGAGCTGAATTATCAGCATGTTCCTTCAAGCTGCTTTCTTTTTCCCACAAGAGCTATCGTATATTTTATTTTTGTACTTAAAAGCACCCTTCTGCCTGATTATTTCTGGCTTTCTGTAATCTTTGCATCACCACAGAGAGAGCACTAAACATGGAAGACATCACTATCAGTCTATTTTAGTGTGTGAAAGTTTTTCTCCCTAATATATATTAAAAAGGGGGAAATGGAGACCTGTGCAATTGTATTTTGAGGAGAGATGCTAGATAAAATGCCATAAAAAAAATCCTAAACCACAGAAAACCTCAAATAATTACGTACATGGTGGGGTTCTGGCTGGCGAGGGCAGGGATGGTGATTTTGTATAGGAAGAGCTGCCTTTGGTCTTGGCCAATTGCAGAGTGGAGGTGGTAAACAGGCTGTCCCCAGTTGTTTTTCTGGCAGATTTCTTCTAAGATCTAGAAGGGAGAAAAGGGATTTTTGCTTAGGTTAGTTGCTGTGCCTTCTCGCCCATCTCCAGCCTCTGCACTGGTCAGCTTCCTTCCCTCCAAAGGGTTTTCAGGGCTGTCATGGCAGCTTCCTCAAGGCTTAGCAAAAAAACCAACCGACTGGCAGGCAGGGTACAGTCACCTTGAGGTATAAGATTAATCTAAATATTTTATACTCTAAAAATCTGTTTAATTATTGAAGTTAATTAGTATCCCATTAAATCAGACATCTTTGTCCTTTTGCTGATTAGCTATTTTATTCTGTTATTGGTGTGGTTTGCTTTGAATTCTTCCCAGGAACATGCACTTCTATTTAACAGCGCTAAACCACTAGGGCTACATTCGTCTTCATGGCTCTGTTGCCTCCCTGGATTAGTGAGTTTTTTTTTTTTTTTTTTTTTTTTTTTTTAAAAAAAAAAAAAAAAAAAAAAGGAAAAGGGAAAAAAGGCTGTGTTTCCATCCAATTAATTACACAGGCTTCAATAAGCTATTTCTGCTTCTAGTTTGAAAGAGAAATGCTGAACCACATTGCCCCCAGCCTTAGCACAGCTTATTCCATGGTAATTGGGAATCATTGTCTGGAAACGCTCTTGCTTTGGCTTTGTATTTCTTTTTTTCTAATACACTGGGTATGCGCTGTCCCAAATGGGTTTGAACACAGCATGGTGTTCTCGTGACTCCCTGTGAGCAGTGTTCGGACCAGTTATTTTTTTCCAAGTAGCTCCACCAGACCTAACACTCAGCTGAGAAGATGTTAGGTCTTGGGGTTCTGTGGTGTTGGCCATGCTGCCAGCTGGGTCAGACTGGAGACCCCCAGGTGCCTCCAACCTGCATCTTTCTGTGGTCTACCTTATTTAAAATTTACGCTTATTTTTATTTGAAATTAAAATGTAAAATTTAAATGTCAGTGCTGCTTCTAATTTTGTAATTGTAGCTCCAACTGAAGTTTAGCACTTTGTGGTGAAAATAAATTAGTTCATTACATTTCCTGCTTATGGCAACCTGCTTGTTCCCTGCTGTCCCAAAGCCTTTATATGGTTGTCAGTTTTATAATGTTACATCAACATTTAAATCCCCAATAAGGCAGATCTACTTATTAACACCGAGCATCTCAGCTAGGCAGCAGGAAAAAAATCCATAATTTAAAGATGCTGCTAAAAAGTTCACTGGATGGGAGAGGCTGACCAAGGTGACAGGTATTAACGAAGCTGCCCTATTAATGAGGCTGTTGTGAAGCAAGCTGTAGTTTTTTAAGATCTGCTGTTGTGAAACAGTAGCAGTGAGGGGATTAGGCACCTCAGCTTCTGGGAAAATGTGCCCCAAAAAACTAGTGTTGCAAGTGCCTGGCACTGTACTGCTCTATTCAAAATACATGCAGTGGGGGTTTGTCATGGATGGGAAGAGGAAAAAATTAATTTCACCTGCCCTAAGGCAGTGAAGTGCTACTCAGGCTATTTCACCCCTCTTATATGCTGATAAAAGAGAGTAAGGGGACTGTGAAATTTTGCAGAGGGTGATGTAAAAATTATTTTCCAGTTTTCTGGGGTAGAACAGGATGTTTTCATAGACTTTGTCAAACCCAATGCTGTGGCAATTGAATTGTTAATAGGCAAAGATGTTCTTCAAAATCCAGGGTGAAGTTAGTTTCTCATGCTGTTTTGGATGATGTAAGGAGAAAGGAGTTGCCGTAAGAGCCAGACCCTCAGAAACTCAGGGAATTTGTTCTGTGTTTGTTCTCCTCAGCCCTCATCCATCCATCTGGATCCCAGTCCCCCACACACAACTGCATCATAAGGCTCCTTGAGCAACCAGAGCTTCTGTCCTGGGCTGGGTTGTGCAGGCAGTCATCACCTCTTTTCCCATAAATGATTTTAAAATGTACATTATTTTTCTATGTATGTGCATTCATTCCATGGTGAAGTGACGCATCCTGTTTATCAAACCCATTTGGGATGAGAATTTCTTTACCCTCAGTGCTTTTATGGAGTAACAGCCATAGCTGGTTTTCATCTTACACCCACAGGTGTTTATGAAAACTCTTCTCCAAGGGAGAGCAGCTGTTGTTCTCCAGCAAGGTGAGTGAGTATTGCAAGATGCAACTAGTGGTATTTTTTTTTAATGTCTTTTAAGATGTAAGAATGGATTTAGTTATCCGTCCCCAGTGCAGATTCAAGTAGGGGACCATTTTCCCAAAAGCATTTTAGGCAAATACAACCTCTGGCCGGGATATTGACCCTTTTTTGCGCATGTACCTGAGGAGCAAGTTTGATCCCTTGGGGCTTTAGCGTGACGTGATTCATCGGCGTGAGCTCCATTCCTGGCAAGAGGTCGTAGAGTTTATCCTCTCCCCTCTTTTCTCCTTTGAGCTGGTATCCGCGCCCCAGGCCCGTGTACGCCAGGTAGCCGCGACCTCCCAGTCCTCTAACTCCCGCAGCCCCTACAGGTACATTCATGTAAATTTCTAGGAATGTAAGAAGGCATTAAACTGAATCAAATCACCGGAAAAATTACCCTGATTCTTGCTGAAATGGAAAAGTTAGCCCCACTCATCAGGTTTGGGAAGATGGGCAGGAGCCCCCCATAGCCTGCTGCTGGGATAACCCAGGCTTGACATTGACACCCTTTCTTTTTGGCTCTTATGCTTGCACAGGTGAAGTTTTTCTGGAGGGAGCCCTACTTCTTTTTGACCCAGTTTCCATCTTCTCTCATCAGTTTTCATTTTGTGACACCTTTCTACTCAGATTTGTAGTTGAAAGGCAGAGAGGGGACAGCTGATATCACTTGCTACCCACCAGTGTAATTTCACTTTCTAGAAGAATCCAGAGTTTATACAATCCTTTGCTTATATGAACAAAAGTCTTATCTTTTCCCCTCCATTATGTTTCTGTCTTTCATCTGGGAACCCTACTTGGGAGCCTGGGGAGACTGCAAGGCAGTTGCATCTGTGCAGGCAAAAACATGGGGCCAGAAAGGGAAATTCCTGTTTCCCTGTCCCCTTCCTTGGGAAGGGGGAAAAATTGGCCAGGACAGTCCTTGCCAGCCCTATCAGGGTGCCATGCAGAGTCCCACATGCCATGGGACCTGGACGTGGGCTTGATGACACAAGATGACTGCCACAGGCATCATCTTTGGAAGGAAGATTTTTTTTTTTTTTTTTTCTCTAGCACCCAAGCTTACTTCAACACTTAGCAAACAATGCCTTCAATAATACCTAATCTGGGGGTACCGGAGCATGGGGGTTTCATTTGGTCCCAGGTGCAGTCACCCAGGATCAAAGGCAGAGCCCCAACAGAGTTCAGAAATACTCTGTGTTTTCATAGACTGCTTAGTACTAGGTTAAAGATCCCCTGAAAAGGAGTCCATCTCCCAGATCACACAATTAATGGCTTTCTTGATTTCAGTGCTGGTTCCCTGCCCTGCATCAGGGCAATGTGACGTTCTTGGGAAACTCCGTGGCTTTGGGTCAGAAAACATCAGGACTGGTAAAACTTTCCCTATGACCTTCAAAGCAAAGAGGAAATACAATGGAGAGCTGTGCTGGTGGCTGGTTGAGGAAGTTGGCTCTGAAGGGGGAAAGGAAAATTGTTTTGTTTGGTCTTCCCTACTGGGGCAAACCCAGGAGGATTTGTAATTTATTTACACTGGACTGAGGGCAATCCGGAAGCTCTTTCAGGCTTGCTCTGGGAAAATGGTTATATTTTCATGCCCTGCTTAGTCTGCTGGAAGATTACTACACCTTTCGGAAGGACTGAGTCTAAAAACGGTCTTCCATCCCTCTCTGAAAGAGGTCCAGCATCTAGGGCAAAGCCAACACCTTCAACATGAGTCTAGGGAGCAGCCACCCAAGTCCTGAAGGACATATGTTGCTAGAGTTGAGTATTGGTGTGACAGGAGTTACCTCGGATGGAGGGAGGTCGGATGATGCTCCTGTTGCTGATCCCCTTGGTGGTGGTGAAGTGGAGGTTGGGGATAGCCGCATAGGCTTGGGGTGCGTAGAAAACTGGGGCGCCCAGGTAGGTGGTGGCGGGGTCATACATGTGTCCGAAGGCGTAGGTGTATTCCCCTTGAAGCATGGTGCCTCTGCCACCTGTGCCCCGGGTGTATCTGATGTAGCTGTCTTTGTCGACGGGTTTGGCTAATGTCACCTCGATCGGGGACCCATCCAGCACCTTCACGTGGGGACAGAGCACAGGAGAAGCACAAGTGTAAGTCTCCAAGGGGCATGGGGGTTACCCTGTCTGGGGAGGCAGTTTCCCCACATGGTTTGCTAATGGGATAGCAAGATGGAGAAAACCACCCAAAAAAGCCAAAATCTCCCTCCCACAGGTGGAAGAAGGCACTGGCTGGGTGAAGGCTTAGGGTGTTGAGAGCACCCAGCCCTGACTGCAGCTGGGAGAGGCTCCTTAACTGAGTTAGCACAGTTGTGAAGCTTTCAGGCGGCTTCGCTTCCCTGCAAAGTAGCATGTAAGTCAGCAAGATTATATGTGCTCCTATGGAGAACAGCAGTAGCACTAAAAATAGGAGTGGGGTTAACACCTCTTCAGGAACAACTCTTGCATTACAGTGCTGTGAATTACATGCAGTGCAAGAAGTACTAAATACAGCAGCCTCCTTGCAAATCCGCATCTGAAATTGAAGCAGATGTTTTGGGTTGACCTTGTTTGTCCCGATTTGCCATTCACACATTGCCCTGCAAGTGTTTTTGTTGGCAGACATGGAACAAGGATGTGAGCACGAGCCAAGGGAACCCATAACCCCTCATTTGCTAGTCCTTGTTTTGGCTTTGCTCTGCTTTATTTTATTTATTTTTTCTTTTTTTTAATTTTTTTTTTTAAACAGTGAACTACAGTCTGAGCTGGGCAAACATTTAGCACAAATGCAAGAAGTCAAAATGAACAGTTTGTGTACATCAGAGCTGCTGAAAAATGAATTCAGGAGTATAAAAGCAGCCTTCAAAGAGAATATAAGGCTAACACCTGCAGCTTGTTTTTGTAGCTAATAAAGCAGGCAGCTTTGTTTCAGCTGTGTATAATACACTGCACATAAGCCCATGAATAAGCATTTACAGTAGCTTTACCTTTCCATTCAAGGCTTTCATAGCTTCCACTGCATATTCTCTTTTATTAAAGTGCACAAAGGCGTAGTCTCTGATTTTCTTTACTCTCTCTACTGCACCTGCAGAAAATGTTGCAATATTAGTTGGACGTGGGTATTAGTTGAAAAATACAGATCTGAAAGAGCAACCATGTTGGGTTATGAGCCTTTGGAGGGCAAAGGCTGACCAGTGGTAAAAGAACAAGAGGACAGTGTCTTCTTACCTCCTAGGATGTATATGCCATGGGAAAGCAAATATATCATGGTTGTAGTATTTCAAGGCAAACTAGAAGTATTTGGGGTCAGACACCAGTAAGTTTCTCATTGAACTGGAGTTGTTTTCTCCGTCCAAAATGCTCTGTTGGATGCTACCTTTGGTCTTGTGTCTCCCTTCTGGGACAGACTACCACAGCTGGATGGCCGAGCAGGACATGTGACAGCCCAGGATTTCATGAGCTACAGGCTAATGTCACCATGAGATCTCCATCTCCATAGTTTCATGTGTGCATCATACATGTTGCTCAGAGGCAGCTGCATGAAAGCTGATGCTTCTGACATAAAACAAGGAGGATCTTCTCTTATCCACCAACTCAGGATGTTCAGCAAGAATGAGTACCCAGTCCTGCCTGGGACACAGCAACCCTGGGCATGGGGATAGGCTGGGACCAACAGGGCAGCAGGTTTCTGTGTGAGTGGGGCACCCCTGGGACAGGGCCCCGGGTGGTGAGGGATCCCTGTCTCCAGGGATGCCCTGATTTGCTTTAACATGGCCCCATCAGCCTGCTGCAGCTGCCGTGTTGGCCCTGCTGGGAGTGGGGTCGAGCTGGAGACTCCCACCCTAGCGCCTCCATCTGCCTCTTTCTTACACCTCTGTAATTATCCCAGATAATTCAAATGCTTTTTGTTCTTCTCTTCTATGTCCATCCTCTACAGTTTCCCTTGTCAACTGCTCTGCTGCTGAGAACTTCTCAGCACTGAGATACTCAGCACTAATAAGTTTGTCTCCAGAATAACCACACTGGTCCTATTCCCCCCCCGTCACAAGATTTAGGCATCTGCCTTTTCTTCTCTAATTGTTCATCTTCCCTGCTCCTGTGGGTTGGGAAGCATATCATCTACCAGCCCAGCCACTGAAACTATAACACCCCCAAACATATCCTTTGGAAATATGGCTAAGGGAAGCTGAATGACTCTTCTGTTGGCTTTTTGCCCTTTAAAGCTGAACAGGTGCACAGGGAAATGTCATATTGCCGCAAAAAGCACTTACTTAAATAACTGCATGAGAAAATACATTTCTTTGGAGTTCAGGGGGAATCATTAGGAGCCCCAGCAGGCAAAATAAAGCCTGTCCCAACCTGTAACCTGAGCAGCCTGCATGTCTTCAAAATGACAGCAGAACAGTAAGTAGCATTTCACATCCTTCTGGGACTGGAGGGTGAATTTCTAAGCCTGAAGTTACCAGAGTTATATGCTGAATGCCTTGTTTACAAGTCAAGGCTTTAATGAGCTCTCAGTGTTTTGAAAATCCCCCTTCCGCCACCTTGAGAGTGCTCTTTGTTTCTGATCCTCGCCTGAGTCAAAACTGTTGCTTTTCCCTGCCTCTACCAGAGCAAAGCAATGTGATACCCACCCTCGGGTCATCTCCCCAGAGAGACCGTCCATGTGACATTGCAGGGGGAATATTGTCACCTTCAGTACATTTGGAGAGCACAACATTCCTGCTGAAAAATTTGCAAGGCATGAGGATTTTTTTGCCAAAATCTCTAGGGAGTAAGGGCAGGGCTTTTTAGTGAGACAAGTGATGCATATCTCTATAGAAGTCATCAGGCACTGAATCTGGCACAGATTTAAGGATGATGCTCATACTATATTCCAACCCGCGATGCATAAGCAGCATTCCTGGTAGTGTCTATGGAGCCTGTAGCGACATGGTAATTGCTTTGTCACAGGGACCTCTGGGTTGGAACTCCTTTGGTTAGGATCATTTTTTATTGGATGCTTTGTTATTGTCAAAATAGATTCTTAATGCCCTGGATCAAATGTACATTGAAATGCAGCACAACGAATAAGGCAGATAACCAGGGCAGGGATGTGAATAATTTCAGATACTTGCTGACTTTTTTGGTTGTAATCTCACTATAACTTAAACTACATTTGCTCTTCCCAAAGCTCAGGTTTTGCTGCTCTGATGCACATATTTTTGAAAGCATGGCACAGCTTAAAAAAAGACGTTCCTGACTTTATCCACAATAAATAAAGCTGTATATTTTTAAAAATAAAAGGAATTTCCAGCATGAGAAGTAAAAATGATAAAGTGAAAATTAAAGATGATACAGATCTTCTGTTGTTGTACTAGAAAACTTGTCGTAGGACCAAAGCAGTTGACTGTTACCAAAGTGCCAAAGTGGCATAAATGTGTTTCTGGGGAGTGAGAGCAGTTCAATATTCAGGAGCAAAACTGGATAAATAAAAGGAGAAAACAGTTAAGAGAGTGGGATGATACATATTTAACTCAGGGGTAAAATGGAATCTCTAACAGCTTGATGGTGGCCAAAATTATTAGCCAGAAACATTAGAAGGACAGAAGAGACTCATAAGGAAACCTCCTAAAGACCTTTGCCTTGCAGCCTAGTACAAAAAAAAGAAATGTATAGAGCAGCAATGAAGAGTTAGTGAAGAAAAAAATTAAGCTCTGTAGTGTATTTTTTAAAATTAATAGAAGGAAGTTAATAGGAATGAGATGAAAGACGATCTCACATTGCCAGGCATAAGTTTCTAAGGCCTAGTGAACTGTGTGGCTTGGAGAGCTGCAGAAACAGGTTATTTTTACTTTGCTGGTTTTGGGTAGAATTTCCTAAACCTGGAGCAACTCAGAAGTAAAATCTCTTTTGAAAGCCAGCAGGATTTTTATTCCCCACCAAATCTACTTGTTTTTTGAAAAATCTCACCCTACGTGCATGTAATACACGGCAAGAAATACTGTCACATTCTGTGTTAAATGATAAGCATTGGTTATCCACAAATTTTCAGAAAAATCTGGGGGATATTGTATGAAAATGATAGAATTCAGAATTTAAATAGATTAGATAGAAAGTATTTGTATTAACGCTCTCTATTTCTAACATCATCCCTTGCAATAGAAGAATGCTGAAATCACCCCATTGTTTCACCAACTATCTCTTTTTAAGAAAGATCGAAATGATTCAAAATCATTTTTACGACACAGGCATCCCCATGTAACATTTTGGATCCCTTTCTGTTACCAATCATCCTAAAAAGGTTAGTAGTGATGTTAGCTGGAAATTAAGCAGCCCTTAATGGAATGCCATGATGTGCATTTTGGGTGGGCCTCTTCAGCCTAATGATGTTTTTTGTGGCATCACACATGAACATTTCACAGTGAAAAAGCAGTTATTTTTATCTCTTCTTTTGGCATTTTATGAATGGAGAAATATTTCCATTTGCAGTAGCAGTACTTATTTAGGAGCTACAGCGTCAATGGATTCCTACCTGGTTTGATGTTGAACTCCTTTTCTATGGTCTCTTCAGTGGTGGAGAGCATGAGGTTCCTCACATAAAGAATTTTTACCGATGACATGGTGTCTTCGTCCACCTCTACTTCTGGTTCTGCCCAGTCAACGGCGATAGGATGTCCCCACAGCTGGATCCTTCCTTTAAAGGAATTGGCATGGTCAGCGTCAGACAGGCTTTGTTTCCTCTCACTTCTGCTCAGAGACTATTTCAGGTGCAGTATGAACAGCAGAACAGGCCAGTTCTACAAACAGGGCTGAAATAAGCCTTTCTAGCTCAAAGCACGGCTGCCTCATTAACGCAGTTCCAAAAGCAGATGGTCACACTTTGAGTGTCCTCCCGCTAATACCTTAGATGCCTGCAGAAATGCAGAATTAAAGAAGTGAAAATATGGCATGATTCACTAATGTCTGCATTCCCCAGAGTGCTCTCTAAAGGGAAATATTTTAATGAACTGATAAAAATCCCTCTTGGCTGTGAAAGTTTCATTCCCTAGATAATAGGAAAGGGATCCAGAAGTCCCAACTGGATTAAATGAAATGGTAAAATCAAGGATGTCTCTGCATGCAAGTATTTGAAGTTGTATGGTCCCCACTGGGTGGAGTTGCAGCAGAAATAGTATAAAGGAGGGGAACAAAAAGTAACAAGGCATAAAACAGACTGTGGGTGTGGAGGAGAAGCCCATGGGCTCTGGATCTAGATGCTATGGGGCAGAGAACAAAAAGAGCAAATAAAGAGGCAGTTAAAGGCAATCTTGTCATGTTATCACGCTAAGTCCGTAACTATTTTCACTGAGTCACCTAATCTGTTAGGTAATTGATTAGTCAGATAGTGATGTTTAATATGTAATGAAAACAGACTGCCACAACCTGGTCTCAAAGCTGTGGGAATCACAGTGATGAGCAGCAGGGCACCAGGTAAGGAAGAGGGACCTCTACAGAGTGATGGTTTCTAAACCTCCTGTCTTCTCCAGACAGCAATGATACCTCTTTCATCCTCTTTTTCTTCCCTGTCCCTTCTGCACAGCTTGTAGGGAGATCTTCTCCCCTTTTCTCTTCAGGAGTAATTGAAATCTGGCCACCCACTAATATCCAGAGCCCCAAATTTCATGCACTCTATCTGTGACCCACTTTTTCTCCAGCAATTTTAATCAGCTCAGCAGCTAGTTGTTTGGAAGTACATTAGGGACCATTTTCTGTCTTAGCAGCATGGAAAGTGCTAGATATTCCTTCCAAATAATGAAATAAAATGTCTACCTCCTCTGCAAATGCCCCCCAAAGAGTAAGTGGGTATTTCTGTGTATTTTATTTCTTTCTCTCTGATATTTAGGACATGGAGGTTGGGTCTTCCAAGGCCTTAATTATGCTAAAACCTGGAAGAAACCCAGGAATACCTATGCTGATAGAGGGGAAATGAGAATCCTGCAAAACATCTTTGGAAAGATCTAAAAAAAGGCATTCTGTCTTGCATCACTGCTTGGGTAACCTATCTAAGATGGTATGGGAGCTCCAAAATAGAGAAAATTAGAGGGTGAAGGTGGAATTTGGAGAGCTGTTCTTCTACACTGGAATTGAAAATTAACAAACAAAATGGAAAGAGACTGGTCTCTGCTAGGAAGGCTCATGAGTGAGCTGGGATTTGTGGAGTGAGGTTGGGCTGATGTTCAGCTATCAGCACTGCCCAGCCTGAATTGGGCTGTTATGACTAGAAATACAAAGATGGCTGTTAATGGCAGGCAGCTGAAATGAAAGGCTGTGTGCCCCTTTCCGAATTGCCATTTTCTGTTCAATAGTGGAAATAATGACCTGGTTGTATTGCAGCAAAGATCTAAGCCTGGTGTCTGCACTAGCCTCTTGCTAAAACCCAGTCTTCTTCCACCCTCTCATTTAACCAGGAGTCAGGACAAAGCATCTTTCTTTTTGAGCATTTCTGTGTCTTCTACAAAGCTCCCTCCATGAGCAGTGAGGTTCAGAGTAAAGGAAATGTCTTGATAATGATATTCAATCTCACATTCATACAATGCATCAGGTGGAGACAGATTCAGTTCTGGCTTGAAAGTTTTTTCAAGTTCCTCCTGTATGTTTGCAACATCAGAAGACTCTGGCTCCTGCTCAGGCCTTTGAAATTCCACAAACTGTTTACTGAGATGTCCCTAAATTGGAAATCACTAGTGTATTGCACATGTCTGTTCAGGGCTACGTGCTTGTTCCATCTGTCTCACTGTCTTTGCTCAGGATTTCAAATGCTCCACTCCCTCAAGGCTGCCGTCGGCAGCTGTGGCTGTGCCTGCTCCTTCCTTCGTTCTCGATATAGAAACCATGGAAAAGTTGTGCTGAAGCACAGACCAGCTGAATGTGCTCCTGCAATCAGGGAGATGCTCAACTGATGGAGAAAGTGCAGAATAAAAGGAAAAATAGTCAGCATGAGATATCCCATAATAACTAGGTGTATTTAGTGCTCAAAATCATGCTTGATTTTTTTACGATAATAAAAAAGGATTTAAATTACTCAGGGTATTTCATGGGTTGTAGTATAGAAAGAGTGAAAGAAGACTGGTGGGTTATGAACAAGTCTCAAAACAGGTTTGTTAGATTCTTTCACCAGCAAGTGACCTGGGTTCAAGAAAGCACTACAGGAGCTGCTGAGCATAAGAAAGCGTGAGGAAACTGGTGAAATCACTGCAAATGCACTTCATGTGTAGTGAGCCCTTCATCTGACACCTGCCCACCTCTCTTTACTTCACAATGGTCTTTGAATGTCCCCCAGTGCCAAATTGCATAGACTTATTCTTGACATTGTTTAAATCCTAATGTTTAAATTCCTAATTTGAAGTTTTCTTCCCACACAGAAAATATCCATTTTTAGGAATATCCTCAAGACTGTATATGATTTTGGATGCTTTCCTGAGTGATTCTCTCTGATAGGCCATAACTGAGGCTATATTTTATATATAATTGAAGATAACCACAGCATAATACATATCCTACAACAGAGCTCTGTAGATACACACAGCTAAATTCATCTAGCTGTATTTTTAATAAATTCAACCTTCTAAATGAAGAGCATGGGTAATGATCAGGGTGCTACATCAGGATCTGTGGTGAATCACTCACCTTGCACCCCAGAGCCAGGGTGACTCCATCAGCCAGCCATGGTGTACTGGGGTCCCTCTGCTCTGATTGTCTCTAGCAGCCGAGAGGAGAAAACCCAGCAATGTTCGCTTCCTTGGGTACCTGGGCCCTCTGGACACCTCAGTCTCACTGCAGTGCAACATGTCCATAGGTGACCCCTGCGACGAAGCCATCCCTACCACCCTCACCATCTCTACTAACCTGGGAGCAATTTTCTCCTGGCCATGGCTGCTGCCCGATGGCTTTCATATTCTACAAAAGCAAAACCCCGGTTTTTGGTTTTATCAGCTGCACTAGGGTAGACAATGACATCCACAACTCCGTCCGTGACTTTCTTCATCTCTGCTAAAATTTCCTCCCTCTTCTTCATTTTAGGGATCCCTCCCACAAACAGGCGGCAGTTGTCCACGCTGGCACAGACCCCGAGGAGACGACCGTTCCTGAGTATAAACAACATTGATGGTTTGTCAGAAGTCAGGATCAGTTCTCAAAGAGAGGAAAAAATTAAAATAAACCCCCATTTTGTCCCAAAACACAAGGCCAAACACAAGGTCTTGTGCTCCTGTGGCATGTGCTCTTTGGGATATTCAGGTAGTCTTGCTCAATACAGAAGCTAAGATGAAGGCTACCGCTGCTAATTTTGACACCAAAGTAGTTGAAATGAAAGATTTGAGATCAAGAAGAAACCAAAGCCAAATTCTGCTTTTCCTTTCTGGGACTCTCGCTTTTGTTATTTAAAAAAATGGCTGCTACCAGGCAACTGTACCTACCACCTATGGTCACAGCAGTGACTCTTGTGTTGCCACCACTGTAAGCCAGGATTTGTTGTGTTCACTTGTCACTTCCCAGTCACCATTGTCCCTCATGACTGAGGTTTAGGAGAAAGAAAATCCCTTGTCATAGAGAGATATGATTTGGGGTTCACTGATTGGTCTGTTGTGCAGACATACACTTCGCTCACCAATTCATGGTCCAGATACATCTTGTGGTCTTCAGAAGTTAAAAACTTTAGAAGAGTCTTTGGAACAAGGGAAGTAAACAGAGGAGGTGGAGGTGGACAAAGCCTACTCTTTAAGACTGTCCAGTCTCTGATACAAACCATTTTTAAGCCCTCCCTGTGTGCCTTGTGAGCTGCTCATCCTTGGGGTTGCTAGTAAACCAATTCACAACCCATCTTTTTTTATTAAAAACAAACCCAAAAGCCATAAAATTACCACAATGGTTTATCTCTAAATGCTTCTAAGCAAAGGTATCTACTCATCCCACTCTAAACTGGAAAAAAACATTGTGTGGTTGAAATCAAAACAAAACATGTTGATGGGCCCATATGTTGTTGATTTCTGGGTGTTTTGTTCCTAATTTTTAGTCACAAACACGAGGGCTGTTTTTGTTCCTATCTATTAGGAAAAGTCACTGGTTTGCCAATTTGTTTCCATCCTATTTCACCATTTTTTACAATCTGTCTCCCAGAACATATCTGCAGTATAGGTCATGAGAGAGACTGTGAATAGGAATAAATCAACCTAAAACAGCTGAGAGAGGAACATGAAATAGACAGCAATGGTTAAGTGAAAGTAAATTTGGTCCAAAGCAAAATATTTTTTCCAATGTTCTGGTAGATTTTTTTTTTTTTTTTGATAAGGAAGAACTTTCCTGCAAAAGATTTTGGCTCTGATGAGTCCTACATAATACCTTTATACTACAGCATAAAGCAATGACTGCAAAGGGAGTCAAGAGGTGCTTTCCTCTTAAAGCTTAGGTATCTAAATAATCTCCCGTTGGGTTACAAGGAAAAATATGCCTTGCATAACAAAATAGATTAATACATATTATTCAAATTTGATGCAAAGGTGTTTGCCACGCTTACCTAATTTCATAATTATTGAGTTGCTTTATTGCATTCTTCGCCTCCTGTTTATTTGAGAAGGTCACAAAGGCATAGCCCCTGTTGTTGCCATTAAAGTCCATCATCATTCTCATTTCATAGATTTTGCCAATCTGCAAATAGAAAGAAAAAGGTTTGTCAGCAAGGTGGGAAGTGTTTAAACAAGACCAGCCGCTTCCTTGACTATATCATGTCAGAGTTCCACCAGTAGTGTGGGCCAAACCATCCCCAGTTCAGCCTTGAAATGTAGCTTTGATCATCACTAACCTCTGCAGTACAACTACCCACCATAAAGTCTTACTTTTTCACATAGTGGTACAAGTTCATCTTCAAAGAGGTCTCGGGGCAGTTTCCCAATAAAGATCTCACACCCCCTCTCTGGCGGAGGGCCATCCCAGCCAGGTGGTGGGCCTCCATACTTCCTCTGCCCATTTTCCTGCCATGAGAAAAATGAAAGAATGGTTTAGATACAGATTTTAAATGTGGATGTAATCAACCCCTTCCCAGAGAATGAGACTTTAGACACACTTCATTACCAGTGGGCTGGAGGCACACACTCTCTTTCCTTTCAGGAAGCAGCTCTTTACAGTCTTGCCAGAGAAAACATTGTGAGCACTGGCTGCCCTGCTGCCATATCTGTACTGAAATGCTTTGATAACCCAGTTAGTATGCTGAGTGATGGACTGGAGAAGGGTCTAGTTTGTACTAGTTGGGTTTTGCTAAGGAACATGCAGCAGTGTATTCTCTGCAACGCAATTGCTACTTCAGATGTCCAAGACGGTCAAATACCTCCTTGGAAAATGTAGGTCTTCTTGTCTATGGGTCTGTGTATTAGTTGTGGGCTGCACACTATAACACTTGCAAAATTTATAACTTGTCATGATTCTTCATCCAATCACAAACATTTATTAGCAATAATATTGCCTCATTTTAGTAATTGATGGAGAGCTTCCTACTCTACAGACCAAAGAAAAGATACTGGTAGGATCATATTAGAAAGCAGAAGGATTTTCCGAAAGCAAGAGGCATTTGGACCTCAGAAAGTGCTAACATAGGGGGAAAACTGGAGACAAAGGTAGAAATTTGGAAACGTGGACACAGTGAAAGGGGTCAGCCAGGCAGTCTGAAGCATCATGGACAGCAGGTGATGCTGGAGCTGCTCAGCGCCCTTGGAAAAAGACTTTTGTGCCAGCAGCTGGGCTTAGCATGAGACATGGTGAGGACCTGGGCCTGGAGGTGGGTATGGAGAAATGGTGCATCCCAAAGTCCACCCTTTCCTGTACCCAGGAGTGGTGAAGACCTTTCTCTGTGCTGGGTGTTTTCAAGGAATCCCAGCATGGGAGGAGGTCTGGGCAAAGGAGAAGACAGAAGCAGCCCCACAGGGGGGACAGAGGAAGGCCATCCATGGTGGGAGGCCATGTGAGGGACAAAAGATGATGCCTACGTACCCAAGAGATTCTTTAGGCAAGGAGCATGTCTTGGCCCCGAATAATATTCAAAGATGTGAAGACCAGCCAGTATTTTCTTTTTGCTATATTTTTACTAGGTGAGTGTGTTCTCTCCTATTTTTTACCTTCCTTCCTTCCTTCCTTCCTTCCTTCCTTCCTTCCTTCCTTCCTTCCTCCCTCCCTCCCTCCATCTCCTCCCTCTCCTCCCTCTCCTCCCTCTCCTGTTCTGCAGCAATGTGCTGCTTCCAGAGGAGCTTGGATTCTGTTAATTTTTCTATTTCTGGCTCTCTGATAATTTCTGTAGTCATTTCCCACTCTGGGATTATTCCAGGCAAGTGAATGCCTGTACGGCTGACCTAAGAGGAAGGCCTAAAGCACATAAGCAAACAGGTATCTTTGCAGGAAACTATGAACATACCACAAGTTCTTTCAGTTTTCCTGAGCTTATAACAGGCCCTGAATTATCCATGCTCATTCCTGTTTTGCAAATGTTTCCAGCATAGTGATGGAATCACAGGGACATTTGAATTTATGAATGAATTGTTATAGCAAATCTAACGGGAAGACAATGATGTTTCAGGCTATTTTTCTGCATCCAGTTTGGCTGAACTGAGCATGTTGCTGACTTGGGATTTTTCTGTCTCTCTTCATTTGTTAGATGAAGACAAAAAGTGATGGTTGTGTTTTGTGTTGTTGCAGTCATCTGCAGTCTTCACTGGCATGGCAGCTGGAGGAATGCTGAGCTCATCAATAATAGTCTGAAAATGGTCAGAGGAGTCTTACTGTCCCACTTTAAGCCAAATGAGAGACAGTCAAAAACAGGTTTTGGTTTTTGTTTTTTGTTTTTTTTTTTCATTTTGTCAATGTCTATGGGAGCTGGTGTGTGAGGAGACACAGCAAGAAAAAGGTCTTCCCTCAATCTGCAGTGGTTTCATTTGTGGCTTGAAGGCAGCATCTCAACAAACTCATCTTGTCAAGGTGTCTGGAGGGAAGGACTTCATCATCTGCTTCACAAACCCTGACGTGCATTGAGGAATAAGGTGTTTGGCTGCACCAATAGATACGTTGGAAGAAAAGCCCAAAGAGACATGGAAGAGGAAATTAAGAGAGGGGAAAAAAAAACAAAAAACCCAAGCTTGGAATGGAAAAGGTAGGGAGGAAGACGTTGGGATGTATGTGTGGGCTGGGGGTTGAAATCTGTGCTTTAGGAATTAGCTATAGCTAATTAGCTATAGACTGGGATAAAGAAATCCACAGTAAATATAAAACATATAGAAGTTATTTATCTTCTGGGTCAGGTTCAGCAGAAAGCCTCCTCAAGGGCAACAAACCCTCCTGCTGGCCTGGCCCTGAGGGGCACACTGGATTAAGGTCTATCGGAAAACACTTTTTCCCAGGAGTCTCAGTTTTTGCTTTGGGCTGTTATGCCCTCTAGTGCTATGCAAAGCAAGGCAAAGTTCAAGGCAGTGACCTGCCTAAACTTCAGTGTTTTCAGTTACTTCTTCCAGGACAAAATGTCACCCATATTAGTGACCAATGCTTTCAAAAAATTAGTTTGTTTTGCTCATGCTAATTGAGAAAGACTTCTTCAGATGGCTTTTGAAGCACATGTCCAGTCTCCACCTGCCCTAACTAAAAGAGCCTGTGCACTTGGAGACCTTGAAGACTAAACTGAGAGCAAAGCCTTGGTATTTGGGTGCGAGGATCTGTACAAAAGGCAGATCTGGTGGTGACTTCCTATGGCCAACTCTGGACCTACATTCTTCTGAAACTTCGTTTAGTGCGTTTTCTTTGCTATGCTACCACCGCAGCCATAGCTTTGAGGCACCAATCCCAACCTTTCCCAACGTTATTTCCCAGCAGTTTTCAGGGCTTTTTTCCACTCTTATCATAATTTAGCATGGGCAAAAGAATTCCTAGAGGAATAAGATCCTGCTTCTTAAAATATATCACCTACTACATGTAGTTATGTGTGGCACATATGTTACAGACAGAGAAAAGAATAATGAGCAAGGGGTGCTTCATGTATACAGATGCACTGCTCAAGCCCCCGATGAAATGCAGCACTTCAGGATGAAGCCAGACACTGCACACAAAAGGACGTGACTGAGTTCCTACCTGGATCAAATTATATCCCGTTCGCTGAATTAACGCACGGAGCGCGGCTTCTTTCTGTGTGCCGGTCAATCCATCCCCGGATTTGTGATTTGATTCCATTGTGAGTGATTATCAGCAAAAAATCAGGTTAATTAGGGGTGCTCACTGCAATCAAATTTAAGATAAATTAAATAAATTAATACAGCTAGGAGGAGAAATTCAGCGCTCCTGAGAAAGTTAACAGAATCATTCTTCCTAAATCAGTTATTTTGAGATCAAAACAAAACAAAACACCAGAGACTGTAGAAAAAGCAAAAAGATCCCCCTCATGTTGCATGAAAATAAATAATATTTAAACCTACAGATTTTGGACAGCATTCGGTTGAGATGCAGAGAGATATCGTAACATATCAATGCACTTGTCTTAGGAGGTAAACACATGTAAGATGCCTAGTCCTGTGCTGAGTACATGATGAGTTACTTCATGCCAAGAGCAAAGCCAGTCACCTCCTTGGGTCCTCATAGCCAGGGCATGTGCTGTGGGCTTGTAGGACCAAGAAATTTATCGTAGAAAATCACTAAATTGTGTCATCCAAAATGATTGATATTGCCTTAAATTTCTTTCAATTATACAAAGGTGGAGGAAATGAAAGGCGATGATAACTCCCAGGCTTGCTTGGAGAGCAAACAGGGCTGAAAGGGGCTAGGGTGGGTGTACTGGGGATGAGGGAGATGGGGCAGCCCAGAACTCACCATGGCACAGGGATGAAGGGCATGGGATGGTGGTGGGGATGCTGGGCAGGGGAGAACAGAAATCTGGAGGAGCAGAGGCAGGTGACAAAAAAGTGGAAGAAGGATGGATCGATGTGGCTGACCGTTGAGCCAGTGCCAAATTTGGGGGAGAGGACACTAAACAATCCCCCTGTACAGCAGGTCTCTTGGTGCACATAACATGAGCATTGCACATAAAGAAATGTAGGTAAAGAAATACAACATATCTGGCTACAGCAGATTTTCTGAGCATGTCACAATGCTTTGGAAATCACAGAAGCAGCCTTTTCCAATAACTGGCTGTTTAACACCAAAATCTTTTATTAGCACATGTCTCTTTTGGGGTTCACTGAGGGAAGAGCTAAGGTTTGAGGCTGGCCACTTCACCTTTGGACACTACTTGCTCTGTGCTCCTGTATCTTTGTGTCCTGGAAGTCTTAAACAGGTGCTTTAAATTTAAATAGATGGATTACTCTGAGTGCCAGAAATGGGACACAAGCCCAGGCATTTGGAGGATGTCAGCCCTGTGTCACTTGGGTCTGCCACACTGAGTTCCAGAGATGGTGACTTAGATACTTGGAAATTGAGACATCTCTGTAATGCCAAATTTTGGAGCTATCTGTTGCTGAAGTTTCTGATTTTTTTTTTCCCGTGCTCCCAGGTTCTCCAGTGTTTTAGTTACTACAGGTGTGCAGTGACTGGGAGATGGACTGTCCATTGCAATAGCTCTTTCCTGTCTCTAATTCCAAAATGAGTGTTCTCTGCAGCAATTGGAGCCTGATTAGCACACTGCTGTGCAAAAATGAGTCAGAAACTTTCCCAGGCTGCTTAAGAAGTAAAAAGCGGTTGTTCAAAAAAACCCAATTAAAATTCAAATTGGTTTTGCATCCTCCCCTTCCTGGGCAGAGGCACCCCGCATGCACCCTATCAAAGAAATCTTTGGTGTACTGCAAATTTGGCCCTTTATATTTCAGTTTTCCTGCATCCTGGTTTCATCAGAGGTTTGAGTGATCAAATTGCGGCACTTGGCGCAAATTTGCACAGCACTCCATGCGTCTCTGTTAGCCCTTGTATCTGGACTTGAGCCCACCCTCATGTACCCGAAGGCTGGGACAGAGGTGGGGATGAAAGCAGACGGCTACGTTATGCAGATATGTCTAATATGCACCGCCTCGGATTTCATACTGTTTTTCTTTACTATCAGGTATCTCAGTGCTGCATCGCCCCAGTTCCTGACAAGGCGGCTGCCCCGGGTGTTGGAGCGGGGAGGCAGGCAGTGGGCGGCCTGCAGCCAGCGGGCACATTGCCCCGTGACGGCACCGGCTCCTCTCCGTGCCGGGAAAGCGCCTGGACCGCAGCCAGGCAAACCTCAGCGGCTTTCCACAGCAGCTGAGGTTTCCAGTCTGTCCCTAGCCACGACCTAGATAGATGAGTAGTGTAAGCGGCTCTTTTTTCTCTCCTGCCCCGCAAATTGCACTATTTCACGCTGCACTTCCCTACGGGCTGGGTGTCTCAGCGGCTGCTGCTTTGAATGTGTTTGTATGTGGAGCCTTAAATGCCACACATCTCTGTACCTCTCCTCTGGGGAGGAGTAATTTCCAGTAACATCTCACTCCAGGTGATGGTTTCATGCTGAGCAGTGAGCACAAGCCGCAGGGCTGGGGGATGGACAGGAATAGAGCATCTATCTCCCTGGCTGATGCATTTACAGCAGGAGCAATATCCCTCTTCAGCTTCTGGCTTATTAGATAAGACAAGGCAAGCTCTTCTGGGCTCTTCTTGTAAGGCTTCCTGCAAATTTTTTAGGCTCTAGACATTAGTGAACTCCAGTATATGCTCAAGCAATCCACTAGGAATAAGGGAGCAAGGGTGTTCAAGGTTGCACAAGGTATTAGTCACAGCCGCTGTGAAATCCGGTGTTGGGAGACCTCCACGCATTTTTACAAAGTGCCAGAAAAATAAGTCACTGTGCTCTTGGGGTGCGTGTTAACGATGATCCGGCCTTAATCTGTGCCCAGTGCTTCCACACACTGCCACCTTTGGAGAAAGCCCAGCCAGCCCCAAGGAAAACAGACCTTCCCGTGGGAAGCAATGGAGGATCCCCATCCCTGGGAACGCCCCAGCTTGCCTGGACCATGACCCTCAGTGGTCTGCTGGAGCTGCAGAGTTGGTTCTGTTGGAAGTGGGGTCTGGCTGGAGACCCCCACCCCAGTCTGGGTTACTCTGCAAGACTCCACTCCTGATTCAGGAGGGGCACGAGAGGCAGAGGACGGACAACGCTGCACACTCAGGGCTTGGATGCACACATGGATGACCCAATGGCCCACTCAAGATCTGGTTTTTTAATGCCACTGTTAGAAAATAAGTCCCTCCTACAAATAACCAGCCCAAAGGCATTCATAGCTGATGTATAAGACTTGTTGCTAGAGAGCCTTCCTCCATCACTTGAGTTTCCCTGGGATGGAAACAGAAATCATACCTCTCTTTTTTGGGAGGTATAAATCGCAACACAACAAATCCCAAGCGCAGTAAAACAGGCTTCCTAGACCCCAGTTTTCCAAGGACCTTTTCTCTACCCCTTCTTCCTACCTCCTTGGCCTGAGGACATCTAAACACCTTTTTGGACAGGGCACTTTCTCACCTCTGCCACCTAAGGGTCTATATGCATCAGCACATCCAGACTATTTCCAGGATACAAGTCACAGTGGGATGTTCTATTTCTGAAACCGGTGGGATTTCAGCACTTCCCCTTAATTCCAGGCATCAGCCTCAGTCCTTGCAGCAGTACTGGTGTGCTGGGCCATACTTTTTTATCATGAAGGGTAAGGGAGGAGAGTTGCTGTCATGGGACCTGGGGAAGCATGATTACTTTCTCTCTTTCTTTGTTCCCTGGGCCATTAATCAAATAAAAAATCCACCCTCACAGGGGGAAAACTCCCCTTCCATAGCTGCTGTTGGAAACTGTGAATGATTGCAGTAAATTAAGGCAGTATTTTTAGCACTGTTAAAAAAAAAAAAAAAAAAAAAAAAAAAAAAAAAAAAAAAGATCCAGCTACACTTAATAGAAATAATTGTTCTGGAATTCTTTTTTGGGAGTTTGACCCTTAGATGGCTTGTTGTTAATAATGACCATTATGCTAAAAAGAAAATGGGGCAAGTTGCATTTTATTCAGATGTTTATATTGAAATTAGGACTTTCAGAGGTGCACACTGTCCAGGTGTTTTGTATTTCATCCTCATCTTTGATCAACACTTAACAATACTGACAAGATATCACAGTCAGAATCAAGAACCCTGCACTATTAGAAAAGGAAGGTACTGCTTTTGTCCTAAACCAGAGCATCACTTCACTTGATTTTCCTGTCTCCATTGAAGGTTCTAATTTATTTTAGATTTCTATTAAAGCTCTAAACCACTAAAGCAAGAAAAGATATTTTTATGCTTAACAAACCCAATATAGCCAAGAAAAAAAATTATTATAATACTACTTCACCTCTCCATGACTACTTCTACAGAACTACTTTCTTGCCAGCTACTCCAGGCAGATCCTATGTCTTTGCTCCATCCAGCAGCAAGATGAATCCAGAAGCTTTTACACAACAAACATGGATATTACTTCACTTTCGGGTTATTTGCTTGGAAAAGGGGGGGAATTGTTTTCCCCATTCAAGGGCTGTCTCCCGTGCTGGGATTTTCGTTGAGAGGAAGAAAGGTTGTATTTGTGACCAGACCCTGCTCTCTTCCCCCACTGCTTTTGCACCCCAAGCCTGCCCCTTCACAGCCCTTTCGGGGAAACCTGGTTACTGTTTCCATGAATGAGATAACGAAACCGTGTTTATCCTGCGCAGATCAATACATCTTCATTTTTGAATGTGTTGAGCCACTTGGACACATTTAATGAAGGCCATTTTGCACCAGTATACCCCCATGCAACCTCTCCTTGTGAAGAATAACAGCCTTTGAAAAGATTGGATAAGTATATTCACTCTTCACCCTTAAAAACGCAGACTATTTTCCTTTAGGTTAACAGCTTGCTTTTGAAGGTTTTAACTTTTTTTCCTCCCTCCAAGCTCCAAGCAATAGATATTCATATATATATATATGTATACATATAACATGAAGCATTCTTTATATTTGTCCTAAAAAAAAGACACTTGAAGCTTCACAAGCTACCACCAGCTCTTTGCCAGGTGAGACACACTGCAGAACGGAGTCTGATTGAGCAAAAAGGCAAAAGACTTCAGTCCCTTTGCTTGTCAGGGCGTAGGGTTTTTTCCCAGCTCAGGTGGTCCCACGGAAAGTGGGAACTCATAGGTATTTGCAGGAAAGTGGAATAAATTTGAAGTAAT